CCATGAACGTGCAGTGCGCACAGAGGCACGAGAGGATGTCAGAGTCACAAGTGTAAGCGGCACGTGGAGTGAACCGAACCTGGGTCTTCTTCAAGAGCCATCACTCTCGCCCCTGCTCCTCCTTGAGGTTGGAGCTCTTTGATTCGTCTAGACTGAGCCCTAGGGACCCGCCTGCCATGCCTGCACCCCCATGTGTGTGTCGTGTCCCCTCCGGTGTGTGCTGTGTTCTCTCCCGCCCGTGTGTGTATTGTGTTCCCCATATGTGTAGAGCCCCCCGCCCCCGTGTATTGTGTTCTCTCCCCTCCCCTGCACGCGGCGTGTGTTATGATTGTCCCGTGTGTTGTGTTCCCCCTCCGCCCCGTGTCCTCCCTACAGCCCCGCCCCCAGCCGTACGTTGACCCGCCTTCTTTCTGGCTATAAAAACTGTTCTCTCCTGGGGATGGGGCTCCAGCTCCCAGGAGCTTGATGTCCTCACGGGGCAGCAGGGGCTCTCACAAAGGACAAACGGCGTGCGATGGGCCGCTCCCCACTGAGCTCCGCAGCACCACGTGCTGTGTGCGAAAGACGCTGGGCAAAGAGAGAAATGTCCCGAGGTCTAGAAGAGTCCAGAGCACAGACAGCGAAGGAGACAGCGAATAATCCGTCCGACACAGCCAGGGCTGCCTGCAGGAGCGCAGGACGGCCAAATCCTGTGGATATCCGGAGGAGTAGTCGGGGAGAGATTGCTTTGGGGACAGAAAGCCCATTTCACCAGTTCCAGAGGAATGCTGGCATTGATCTCCTGGCCAGAAGTCCCGTAGTCCAGCCTGATGAGATGAGACCTCACGTCTACCAAGATCATTCCACCAGCTGAACTACAATCACCCTGCTGACTGAGCTCTGGGCACACTACCAAGGCCGCTGAGCCTGGCCCAGCCTCCTACTTAGCCTCCCTTTTGAGCAGGACATTGTGACTTGTCCAAACGCTAGCGGTGAAGCTGCTCTATGGCCCTGACTGAGCCACGTCCTCCTGCCTCGCTGCCTCGCTTCCTAGGGGCTTTCTGTTGTTCGTTCTGCCTGGGTGCTTTGACAGGAGGGTCACCTGTGACACAGCACCCAGCACAGCGGGAAAGGCTCACACTCAGGGCGGCCAGGCCGGAGGAGGCTTGTGCCTTACACAGAGACAAAGATGCGGCCTCTGGGGCACCCCAGAGCAGGTGAGAGGAGCCTGGCAGGGACTGGGGCCTGCCGTGATGTCCGTGCTTTCTTTAGGACCCAGTGTTCTAGAACCCAGGAGCAGAGATGTTTATGTTACATAAAATAGGACGTTTGTGTCACGTGTGCTTTAGAAATAAAACAATTCCTGTAAATAAATACAGCATCAAAGTGGCAAGTCTGAGGATGTCAGCCCTGGATGGGACTCAGGAGCAGAGGCCCAGCTGCCGTCCCCAGCACAAAAGAGACTGGGTGGATGGACGGGTGGACAGGTGGATGGACGGGTGGACGGGTGGATGGACGGGTGGACGGGAGGATGGATGATGGATGGGTGGATGGACGGGTGGATGGGTGGGTGGGTGGATGGACGGGTGGATGGACGGGTGGATGGATGGGTGGATGGATGATGGATGGGTGGATGGGTGGGTGGACGGGTGGATGGGTGGGTGGATGGGTGGATGGATGATGGATGGGTGGATGGGTGGGTGGACGGGTGGATGGATGATGGATGGGTGGATGGACGGGTGGATGGATGATGGATGGGTGGATGGATGGATGGGTGGATGGATGATGGATGGGTGGATGGGTGGGTGGGCGGGTGGATGGATGATGGATGGGTGGATAGACGGGTGGATGGATGGGTGGATGGACGGGTGGATGGGTGGATGGACGGGTGGACGGGTGGATGAGTGGGTGGACGGGTGGATGGATGATGGATGGGTGGATGGACGGGTGGATGGGTGGATGGACGGGTGGATGGGTGGGTGGGTGGATGTGCTGTGGGAACTCCTTCAACCTTTAAGATACTGGTCCACTTTGGGCATGGTCTCATGTATTATAAATGCAGACAAAAAGTGTGTGCGGGGTTGTTGGCTGATGGATTTGGTTCCAGTTCCCAGCTAACGCAGAGGACTGAGGATCACTATTCTTTCTGTGAGTTTACCCCAGATAGATAAACCCTTGTTACACTCCATTCCGGGCTATTGTGGAGCTCTTTTTTACGCCAACGGGAATGGAGGATGGATGGCTCCTTGCGGATTACCGAAAGACCTGTGGCCCTTAAGGTTCTTGCTGTTCACAGCTCAGGCTGTAGGTGGTCATGGAGGGGAGGTCTGGCTGTCAAGAGTCTCACAGCCCCAAGCTGGCAGCTTCGAGGTTTGGGTTGGAATCTGTTCTCTGGGCTCAGGGCTTTTTTCCCCATCCTGGTGAAACAGCAGGATAGCTTCTTGAGGTTCCAGTCACAGCCCCACTGGTTCCTGGCTGTGACCACCTCTCCATGACTGGAGCAAAGAGTCATGTGATGGGATTATAAAGGTTATATTGGGCCAGGCCTCAGGTCCTCCAGCAGTCAGGAGGCTGGAGCAGAGGGAGCAACAGTTTGAGATGAGCCAGGGTCAGGCACACCCCATTTCAAAACTCCCAGAAAGGAAAAAGGCCCTGTTTTGGAACTCCAAATGGTCTAAACCTGAGCAGCCACGAGACAGAAAGATGGGGCCCCGAAAGTGGGGCTTAAGAGATGCACAGGAATTCGATATGAAGTTCATCCAAGCCTATCTGAGTTCTTGCTTGACATTGACATCGACGCTGAGAATTTGATAGTGGTGTGTCTTGGTCGTGATCTGAGCCCTTGGGCTGGGCTCTGGGGATGTCCTGGGGTCATCACGGTGAGAGGACGGCAGGTCACCCTACCCTCTAGTGACTCCCGTGACTCTGCTCAGTCACCAGGGGGCTGGTTTCCTGTGTTGACACAGGTGGGGCAGCGTGGGCAGCTCACCTCTGCCCCAGTCTGTGGCCTCTGGACCCAGCAACTGTTCCTGGGGAGGAAGTCAGGGTCCTGGCCCGCTGAGGTCATGGCTGGCCAACTGCCCACAAATGGGCCACCCCACTCCTTTGCTTGGCCCAAGACCAGTGATGAGGTCATCAACCAAGGATTTTGGGGAAAGGAAGCCAAGTGGGCACAATGCCACGTTCCAGAGTTTTGTGAACCGGAAATCTGTTTGGGGGAGGGTGGTGGTGCCAATCAACGATGGGGTACCCCATGGAGCCTTGTAGAACATTCCATGAAAACAGTGGATGGTTTACTGATCTTGGTCTTAAAGAGACAGATGCCTGTTCACGGGCAGGGTGTCACTCTGGGTCGGGAGCTGGGTGGTTCAGTCATCTCAGCACTCAGGAGACTGAGGCAGGAGGACTGTCCGTTTGGGGATCTCAGGGTGAGAGGGCTTGTTCCCGCTTTAATGGCAGCCGTGCGAGCCTGTCCCCTCATCGGTGCCAGCGTGCAGGCCTCTCCCCACCTGCCGCCAGCCTTGAAGAGCCAGAGCCGACTTTCAGGCGTCAGCTCCAACCTGACCTCCTCTCTAACCACGTGAACCCCGCGGCTCCTCCGTATCCCAGGGGACCCCGGACGGCCTCCAGCCCTCGCTTCCCCATCCCTGAGAAAGGCCTCTCTCCTTTTGGACCCCCGGCTTTACTTGGACGCACAGTTTAGCAATTTGCCCAGGGTCACATGGAGAACACTGGATGGTGTCTCAATTTGTAGCGTGCACACAACTCCCCAAGTCCTCCCTTGCACCCCAAAGATGGAGAACTCCGCAGCTTTTCACTGAAAGGGAAACAGAGGACTGCGGTGTGACCCAGGCCTGCTTCTCCAGACATCAGCAACTCACCCAGGGCAGAGAACCGGACTCTTGAGACTTAAATTTGGGGGGAAAAGTCAGAGACAAAAATTTAAGGCCAGAACCCCACTCGCCCCTGCTGGGTGCCCACCAGGCTGCCTCTCCCACGGGGTACAGTTACCTCAAAACTTTCACAGCTGCTAGCCTGAGGTCGGGGCTATCTCCCTCCGTATTGATCCTGAAGAGTCGCCCACTGGGGTAAATGTCCCGGAGCCGGCAGGTAACTCCTGGGGCGGGGGCGGGGTCTGTAGGAGGAGGGGCCTGGGGCATCAGGGGTGGGTTTGGGAGTCTGAGGAGGAGGGGACAGTTCAGGGGTAAGCCGCTGGCTTGTACCTCAGGTCCAGCACTGGCCTGCGGAGCGAGCAGAGCACCAGGATGGTGGGCAGGGAGAGGTATGCGGGCGTCGGTCAGAGCCTGGAGTGTCCTTATGGGTACTGCAGAGGGAGCCCTGGGCGCCCCAGACCCCAGCAGGTGCCCCTCGTCGCTCATTCCTGGGTCAGCCAGAGGCCCGAACCGCAGCCGCCACCCTTTGCAGGCCTAGGTGACGTCACCCACCTCCATCTTCTGTCCAAGCCTGACCACCCTGCCCTGACCCCTGCTCCCCAGGGGCCTGCAGTCTGGACCGAATGAAGGTAGGACCCACAGTAGACTCCTTGCTTCTCTCCCCGCGAGAGGGGAGACCAATCTGGGGAGACAGAGTCAGGGACCTGAGTGTGACCATCCAGTCGGCCTGGAGCAGGGGCTGTTTGCACAGGGTTTTGAAAGGACACCGAACAGGTGCAGTGGGCCTCAGTTTGTGCCTTGGCCCTTCTATCACAGCCATTTGGTCATGGCTGGGGGGGGGGGGGAGGCAGGAAGAGTGGGAGAAAGGGGGAGGGAGAGGAAGGAAGAATCCACTTTAACTTGAGTCTGGCCCCCATCACATGTTCTGTGGGGACGGTCAGCCCCCACTGTCACCAGACCCTGCGGTTTCCCTTTGTGCTGAGAGGGACCGCCCCCCCCCCCCCCCCCAGTCCTCGGGGTTCCCTCCCGGATCAGCTTGGTCACTCGAGTTGGCACCGCATGCGGGGGCGGGGCGGCCAGAGTACAGGACTATAAAGGTGGCGGCAGCAGAAGGCTCAGCTCACAGCCACACCGAAGACACAACCGACATGGCCCTGCCAGCGCCCGAGGCCCAGCCTCCAGGCGGCTCGCAGCTGAGGTTCCTCCTGTTCCTGCTGCTGCTCCTGCTGCTGCTGTCATGGCCATCGCCCGGGGACGCCCTGGCACTGCCCGAACAGCGACGTTCCCACCCGGAATCCCGACTCGACGCTCACGAGCTACGAGGTCGCTTCCAGGACCTGTTGAGCCGGCTACATGCCAACCAGAGCCGTGAGGACTCGAACTCAGAACCCAACCCCGACACGACTGTCTGGATACTCACTCCAGAAGGTGAGTGGCATTTGGGGACCCGCCTGAGCAACATACTCCCCGAGCCTAACCCGCGTTCAAGCCCACGAGGCTCAGCCCAGCCTGTCCCCGGACCGGAGCGGGACAGGTGGCATCCAGAGAGGCCAGGGCCGCTCCCGAAGGTGCACAGCGCTCGGGTCGGCGGGGGAGGGGGGGGGGCGCGGCGGGAGTCCTGGATGGCTGGAGCCAGAGGGGAGGAACCTGCAGGAACTGGATCAGGAATCTGACGCAATCGCTGGTCAAGACTCCGCTAGCCACAAGTGGGAGGGAGGAGGACCCCGGGGTCCGGGGGCGGGGCCAGGCGGGTAGGGTCTCCCAGCTGTGGGGGCGCACACCTGTGTCCCCAACTACTCCAGAGGTTGAGGAAGGAGGATTGCCATGAGTTCAAGGACAGCTGCGGCCACACCTACACAGTGAGAACCTGTCCCAAATTTAAAATTTTTCTTTAGGGATTTTTTTTTTCATAGAGACATTTGTAGCCTATGTGGATTTCAGGGCAATCCTCCAGCCTCCGCCTCCCAAGTTCTGAGATAACAGGTGTCAGCCACCAAACACACACCTTTAATCCCAGCAGGGAGGGGGGGCTGGCGGATCCCGAAGGCCAGCTTGGCCTACAGAGAGAGCTCCAGGACAGCCAGGGCTGTGTAGACTGTGGGCAGCACACGGGTGAGGTCCGTGCACCTTAACGCGTGATAGGCACACGCCTGACGCCGTGCACCTTGCACGCGGGGTGGGCACACGCGAGACGTCCGTACACAGTACACGCGTGATGGGCACAAGCCTGACGCCCTGCGCCTTGCACCCGGGACGGGCACACGTGAGACGTCCTGCATCTTTCACGCGGGACGGGCATACGGGTGACGTCCGTGCACAGTACACGCGTGATGGGCACACGCCTGACGCCCTGCGCCTTGCACGCGGGACAGGCACACGGGTGACGGCTTTCCGTTTCTTTTCCAGTACGACTGGGGCCGCGCGGCCACATGCTGCTCCGCGTCCGCTGGGCGTCGCTGACCCAGGGTATCCACGAAGCTTACCGCGTGCACCGAGCACTTCTCATGCTGTCGCCGTCGTCGCGGGCTTGGGACGTCACCGCACCCCTGCAGCGCGCGCTCAGCCTCGGGGGACCCCACGGCCGCGCACTGCGCCTGCGCCTGGCGCTGCCCCCAGACCTGGCCGTGACGCCCTCTAGCGGCGCGCGTCTGGAACTGCACCTGCGATCGGCCGCCGGCAGGGGGCGCCGCAGCGCACACGCGTTCCCCAGAGACTCCTGCCCTCTGGGTCCCGGGCGCTGCTGTCATCTGCAGACTGTACATGCGACCCTCGAGGACCTGGGCTGGAGCGACTGGGTGCTGTCTCCGCGCCAGCTGCAACTGAGCATGTGCGTGGGAGAGTGTCCGCACCTCTACCGCTCGGCCAGCACGCATGCGCAGATTAAAGCGCGCCTGCACGGCCTGCAGCCAGACCGGGTGCCTGCCCCCTGCTGCGTCCCCTCCAGCTACACCCCGGTGGTCCTCCTGCACCGGACGGACAGCGGCGTGTCACTGCAGACCTACGACGACCTGGTGGCCCGGGGCTGCCACTGCGCATGAGCGCCGAGTGTGCCCCTCACCTGCACTCCCTACCCCTCCTGCTATTTATATTTGTATTTATTAATATTATTAATTTATTGGGGTCAGACTGGGTGGGTGAATGGATTGTTTATTATTTAAAACTCTTAATAAACGTGAGACTGGTTTATATGGGGGTCTGAGACGGTGCCTCAGTGACCTCAGCAAGATAAACACCTTTCTAGCCTGTTTGCCCAAGGCATCAGCTGAAGGGACGAGTGGGTGAGAATGGGTGAGCTGCTAGAGGGTGTTGTGACCTCTTGGGACTCGTGAGGCGGCTCCATGAGTAAAGGGCTTGTGGCCACGCCTGAAGACCTGAGTTCAATTCCCAGAGGCTGACTTGGTCACGTGGTAGACATGACTCCTGAAATCTGTCCTCTGATCTCCATGCACGCTTCCTCCTTCTCCCTCCCTCTCTCTCTTCCCCTTTCCCCCTCACACTCGCACACACTTGCACATGGACACACACAGACTCACATGGACACACACAGACTCACATGCTCACACACACATTCACACTCGCACACACTCATTCACACTCGCACACACATTCACACTCACACACACACTCATTCACACACACTCATTCACACTCGCACACACTCATTCACACTCACACACACATTCACACTCACACACACTCATTCACACTCGCACACACACTCATTCACACACACACACTCATTCACACTCACACACACATAAATATTTTTTAAAAAGTTTAAAAAAAAATTCACCCACACCTTATCTCCCAGGAGAAACATTTCTTCTGTGTGTTTCAGAATTGCTGAGTCCAGGCCCTCGCACCTATGCCCACCTATCTGAGATGGGCAGAATTGCCCCCTCCCACACCATTTAGGTTTAGATGGTCTGGTACGGAAGCCACCTGAGGGGGGGGATGTATGAGGTGAAGCCAGGCTGGTGCAGAAGGTCCTGAGGTGGGGTGGGCAGGGCGATGGTGGGTCCCTGGGGAAGAGGACTCTTAGCAGAGAGCATCCCAATCAGACTGGCCTGAGGGGGATTTTCTTGTTTGTATGTTTTGTTTGAAGACAGCGTTTCTCTGTGTAGCCCTGGCTCTCTTGGAACTAGCTCTGTAGACCAGGCTGGTCTTGAGCTCACAGAGATCCTCCTGTCTCTGCCTCCCGAGTGTTGGGATTGAAGGCATGCAGCAGCAACAGGGAATTTTCTTGATGGACAGTGATGTGGGAGGGAGCAGTCATTTCCAGCTGTGGGTTGGTGGCTGGGTCTGTGTGTGCAGCCTGGAGGAGCAAGTCAGCCCACAGCCATGGCCTTTCCTCTCCTGGCTCTGGCTTGGGTGTCCATCGCTGCAACAGGAACCCATTGGGACGTTAAACACCAAGCCAGCAACGGTCCCTTCTGTCCATACTGGTGCCGGCCTGCATCAGCTGCTTCCAATGTCTTTCTTCCCTGAAGTAGTAAGGGCGGCGGCGGGGCTGCGTCCCCAACACCCCAGCTGCCTGCCTGGCTAGCTTATGCCCCGAAATAATTACATGGACACTGTATTCTTTTAAACACTGCTTGGCCCAATCTCTTCTAGGCTAATTCTCACATATTAATTTAGCCCATTTCTAATCATCTGTGTGTAGCACCCCAAGGTGCGCTTACCGGGGAGATTCTAGCCTAGTCCATCCTGGGTCGGAGCTTCATCCCGGGAGCGGGGCATGGCGTCTCTGCTGAGGCGTCTGCTCCGGAGAGCAGAGCTGTGGAGTCTCTGAGCTCACTTCCTCTTCCTCCCAGCATTTTGTTCTGTTTACTCCTCCCACCTATCCTCTAACCAATAAAATGGGCCAGGGCAGTGCCTTTATTAGCCAATGACCTTCCTCCATCACTTCCCCTTCACTTCTTCAGCTCCTAGGCCTCCTGCGGGACACACTGGAGATCCTCCTGTTACATGAAACCCTGTTCAAGCTATTCCAGTTGTCCCCTTTGCAGACCTTCCTCCCATCTCTCCTCCAAACACCCAGAATTGGGAGCGCCTCTGACCACGTCGTGCTTCACGACACACCGAGCTCTGGGGAGCTCTGCCGTGTCTGAGGAGCCCTGGAAGGTTTCTGGGCGTGGCACGCGGCACCTGGGCCTCTGCGTTAGTCAGTGTTCTCTAGGGTAACAGATCTTACAGAATGAATCTCTCTCTGTGTATAGGGAAAAGGGTCTATTGGAATGATTTACAGGCTGCAGTCCAGGCAATCCAACAATCCCCCTTTCTTTTATAAAGACAGGCAGCTATTAAGTGAAGGGCATCAGGTCAGAGTCCAACCATGGTGTCAGATCCAAAGGAGAAGGGACTGGGACAAGGAGAGACCCTCCTCTCAAATGGTGAAGCAATTTACCTCTCCTGGGAACAGAGGGGTGCCTTATGATTCTTAGGTCGAATGGGGACCAGGTCTTTATCCCCCTTACCCGTCCTAGGATTCCCAGTATCCTGTCTTAGGTTGGGGGATTTCTTGCCACAAGTCACCCGTCCTTGGAGCTCCTCAAATGAAAGGTATCTAGCGAGATTTAAAGTAAGCAGATCACAGGGCACCCTGTCTTAGGCCATGTGGAGTGCACCCCTCGTGCCTGGTACCATACCATTTTGAGCCGGTTTCTACAACCTCTGTATGGTGTGCTGTTCAGGCGAGGGCTCCACAATATCTCCTGTCATTGGGCCCCTGCGTCTATCATTAATGAAAAGACTGTGAGGAGCCCCTCAAACAAAATATAATGATATAATTTGGGCACCAATAACTCCAACTTCCAGACAAGAAGAAAGGGCGTTTTCCAAACCCAGTATTCACCTTTTAATCTGGCCTAAGGTACATCCTCCTTCCTAAATGCCTACTCCACATTAAGATTATGAGTGCTGCCTGCCAAACATTTTTTTCCAGGGATTCCAGGACCTAAAGGGTTTGGGATATGTAGCAAGGGTGGAAAATTGGAGAGCAGCTGCAGGTTGCTCTGTTCCATGGAGCCTCGAGTGTTCAGGCGATGGTAATGAACAGCTATGGAATCCTTTGTTATTTCATCAATCTGGGTCTTAATAAAGCGGGTTAGTTTTTTAAAGGCCCAAGGGCCAAAGGATAATAGTAGTAATAGTCCCATAAGAGGGCCCAATAAACTAGGCAAAAGTGTGGACAGCCAGGGGGAAGTGGAGAACCAGTTTTGATACCAAGACTCCTGCTTTTCTCTGTTTCTTTTTCTTTCTTCTAAACTATTTTTTACCTTCTGTATGCTATCCTGTACTAAGCCTGTTTTATCTGAATAAAAGCAACATTCTTCTTTAAGGGCAACACAAAGTCCCCCTTCTTTAAGAAAAACCAGGTCAAGGCCTCGTCTATTCTGCAGAACCACCTCTGACAGAAAGACTAATGAATCTTTTAGGTTTTCTAGACCCTTTTGTAATTCCTGGATGTCTCTGTCTACCGCCAGACTAAGTTGAGCATATTGCTGTTGGGAGGTGATAAGAGAGGCAATCCCTGTTCCTGCACCTGTGGCTCCTAATCCCAAAACAACAGCCAAGGTAATGGCTGAAATAGGTTCCCTCTTGTATCGGGGCATAATAGCGCCCTGTTCCCAAAAGTGGAGGAGATTCTCAGACTCATGTATCGTCAGACGAGGTACCAACCGCACTAGCACACAATAATCCTCATTGATCAAAAAGTTACTGGTAACTATATAAGTGGTGAGGCCCAAGGAACAGGCAAAATAGAATCCTTCAGGTGCAGAGATATAAGAAAAAGAAATATTGACAACAAGTGTCTGATTGCAGGTATGCTGCAATGGTTGAGGGAAGCGCAAGGCTGGTCCCCTAAGGCATAGCCCTATGCCAGAGACCTGGCTTATCGTAAGACCTTCACCATCAACAGGATGCCACCTTAAGGGCTTTGTATCATTAGTTAAATTGGGGGAGCCAAAAGCAGCCACACCTTCATAAAAGGGGGGCTTTGGTGAAAAGCAAACCCAGCATTCCTCATATAGGGAATTATTAATAGCATGTAAAGCAACTGTAGAAGCATTGACCATAGATAGAATAAGATCAGCAGAAGAGGGAAGTCCTTGGGGCAAGGTGGGTTGAAAGGGAGGGGCCGATACAGAGAAACTATTGGTCAGAGTTTCTTTGTGAGTTGAAGGATGACTAAGTTGTTCGCTGGTCAGAAAATGCAATGCCTTATTGGGGCCTACCGCGGTAACAGTGGATTGGGGGACTGTTTTTAGTAACTTTATTTTAAAAGTCACCCCAAAGTCTCTTCCGCTCCTATAGAGACGGAGGCCCCATTCTACTCCTCTAGAACTGATCCAATCAAACCTTTTTCCTGCTTCTGTAAAGGTGATTACTAAGGGTTACACCATCTGTGAGGTACACATCGAGCAGCTAAGCTTTGCTTTGGGCCTTTTCTCTTAACTTCAATATAATCCCAGGAAGAAGAGGGATTCCAATATGTATCCCCAGTAGTTTCACAGCCTGATGAGGCACAGAAATAATCAGGACTAAATCCACATTTGGAGGCCAGGGAGCGATCTCTGTGGGAGGCTCCGGGGCAAATATATATTGGTGTAAGAGCGAGGACGCGCCTGCTAAATCTAGTGGTACAGCCAGGCTCCTTCGTGAAATCGAATGGAATTTCTGGAGCCTGTGTTAAAGGGAGAAACTTATCATTTACTCCCCAATCTGAATGGCCTCCCAAAGCCAATTTGCAGAGATCTACTTCTAAAGGGCCCCAATCAGGAGTTGCGGCTATAGTGGAGGAGGAGTTTGCGATGTCACCTGCTTCATCTATGACTTGCCAGGTAAAATTGAAAAATTGATACGGGGGTGCTGCTCCTCCGAGATGACGGGCCCAAATTAGGAGGACCCATAGCCAAGGTGGTGTCAAGATTTTTGTCAGCATCTGAAATAAAACACAAGAAGGGAAAATCTTCTCAGGGCTTATTTTCCCTGGTTGGATTATACAATTTTATCAGACGCTCAGGGAGCCATCTGGCATCTTGAGCCTTGGTATCATAAATACATGCATGGCCTTTTCCCCAAATAAGTACAGGGTCGGGGCCAGCCCAGGCACCCGACAAGGGGTCCTTCCAAAGGGCTTGTGCATAGGTAGATTGGGTAGAGGGATGCCACAGTCTGTCTGCAGCAGACCTCCCCTGATTATCCAATGTAAGGAAATTGAGCACAAAGAGAGCATGGGTCAAGATTATCTTAGCATTACCTTTTATGGGGTAAAGTGTCTCTTGTGCCATTAATTTAAAGATGGTATGCTTAAGTGTCTGATTGGCACGTTCAACAATGCCCTGGCCTTGTGGATTGTAGGGAATACCAGTACAATGTTTTATATTTAATTGGGCACAAAATTGTTTAAATTTCTGGCTAGTATATCCAGGTCCATTG